GAGGCCCCCCAGTGCCCAATCCCTTCCATGGACATGCCCACAGTGGGCACATCTGTGGGGACGCAGAGCAGATGAGCGTCCCTCCGGCCACATTCGGGACGGCTAGGGCATGGCTTTCTCAGGGGTGAAATGTCCTACAAGGGACCTTGGTGACGGTGGCCCGTGAACGCACCGAGGGCTGCTGAGTGGTGTGTGCAGACTGGTGACCTGGGGGCCAAGGGCACAGGGGCACGTCTCACCCCTCCTGGCCCCCTCCCCCACCCCTCCCCTCACCCCTCTACCCCTCACCCCCACCCCAGGTCAGCATTGGCCCCAGTCAAGAGCCTGGAGCACCAGGGGTAAAGGGACCCCCGGGGTGTCTGACCTGGGGGGCCAGGCCGAGGGCACCCAGTGAGCAGCAGGACTGCAGGGTCTCCTCCCTGCCCACCGCCACCCCCATCCGCTCGCAGGCCCATACCTCCACTTGGGCCTCCTCCCAGGCATCCAGCCGGACGGACTTCACCTTGCTGACCTGGGGGATATTCCGGTGGATTCCGGAGCAGCTCAGACAGATGAACACCCCCAGGGTGTAGGAAGCCCAGTCGGGATCTGGAAAGCAAAGGCCAGACGCTCAGGGAGGCTCCGCCCCAGGGAATGAGCACGGCTGGGACTCTCTCTGGCCTCAGTCTCCCCATCTGCGCAAAAGGAGGCTGGCAAGGAGATCCCTGAAGCTCACAGGCTCATGTCTCATGGGCTCGTGTCCCACGCGAGGTCTCTCCTGCCCGCCACAGGTAAGCAGCCCCACCCCTGACGTCCCAGCTGCTCGGCGGACACCCAAGTAGACAACCCGTGGCCACGGGAGACGTGCTAGACGATGATATGCGATCGGCGCCACGTGCGTCAGGCGTGACAGGGATGCTGGCTTGGCCACGCGCTCAGACACGCCTTGATGTCTCGCTCACCCGCCAAGTGCAACAGGAACACGTGTGTGCACGTGTGTGTGCAGCAATGTGCAGAGTGCTGACGGCCACGTGACCCCACTGGGGGTGCAGGTCCAGGTGGAAGCGCATTCACAACTTCTCATATTGAACCGGGCAAGCGGTGGAATGTGGCACTTAACAAACTGGGGACTGGTGGCAGCTCCAGTGTTGTTCCTTGTGTTCTGTGCACCCCGTCCTAGTAACCGAGTGTGGGGGCTGGGGGCCAAGGGAGGCAAGCACCTTCCACTTGTAAGGAAAGCTTCTCCTACATCAGTGTGGTTTAAATCTGGTTTAAATCCAGACACCAGAGGCCCAGAGCCCCTCCTCAGACACCGAAGCCTGGACCACAGACCCACAGCACTGTGCTAGAAGTGTTTGCAGGGTGTGTGCATGTGTGAGTGTGTGAGTGGGCAGCTGCGGGTGTGCACGTGTGAGTGTGTGAGTGGGCAGGTGCGGGTGTGCACGTGTGTGAGTGGGCAGGTGCGGGTGTGCATGTGTGAGTGTGAGTGGGCAGGTGCGGGTGTGCACGTGTGAGTGGGCAGGTGCGGCTGTGGGGGGGCTGGTGCAGCAGGCACCTCTGGTTCCTGGACCAAGGACCCAGCAGCCCTGGCCCTGGGATGTCTGGCCCTGGCCCCAGACTCACAGCTGCCCGAGGGCACTGGCCATGCCTTGGGCCCAAGCCTCCCTCCCTGCCTGTTTGGGGAGACAAGCTCCGGCTTACTGTGAGATCCGAGAGGGACATGGGGGGCCGGCGGGCTGAGCAGTTGAGCACAGGGGTTCTGGTGGTTACAGGCCTTGCTCACTTTCCAAACCTGACAACCAAGCTCACAGCATCCCCGTCCCCAAGGTGCCTCTGAGGCGTGCGACCTGCTCTAGGGTCTAGCAGAGGAAGTGGAGGCCAGGGAGGCAGATCGCTTCTAATGGCCCCCAGAATAGAGAAGTTTCGGGAGAAAAACAGCCATGTCATCGCCAGGGCCCCGCACAGAGCCACGCAGATGACTGTCCGTGGGGGCTGGCGATCCTCCCAGCCATCACCTCCAACTTTGCCTCGATGCTTATTTATGGGGTAGGGGTGGCTGGGGCAGGAGGGGACTCCTGGTGAGTCTGGGGGGCTGGGGAATGGGGAAGTGAGCCCACGCGCAGACACAGGCTCCTGGCCGGGAAGCTGGAGGCTGGCACTCTGAGACCAACGGGGGCCCCAGTCCCCCACCTCCTCCCTGTCCTGGGGTTGGCTGACATCAGCCTTCCCCACTGGGGCCAGTGAGGGGTGCAGCCCAGAGAGCCTGAGGCCTCAGAGCCTTGGTTCTGGGGGCCTTACCCCACTCAGAAGAGCTGTGAGCAGAGGGGCAAGGCAGCCCACCAGCCCACCCACCCATCCTCCCAGACATCCCCTCTGTCCACCCCTGGCCCCCTGCCATTCCCCCCACGGCCCCCCACGGCCCCTTTGCCTGCTCCGCCCACAGCCACTGGCCCCGGAAGCCAAGAGCATCACATCAGCTTTCTGTTTGGAACCTTCCGGGGACTTTTCACCACCTCTCCTGGCTCCTCCCCGGGCACTGCTCCAGCCCCCCAATGCCTGGGCGGCCCCTCCCTCCCACATCTCAGTGCAAATGTCACCCTCACGGGGCCCCTGGCCACCAGCAGGGGGCACCCTCATGGGTCCTGCATCATAATGCCCTTCTCGGGTCTTCACACCATCTGCCGGGCCGGCGCTGACTTTCTTTGCCTGTTTACCCAGCACCGCCTGTCTCGACCCCTAGAATGTAAATGGGTCAGGCGCCTGACGGGCTTTGGGCCCTCTCCCAGCAGCCCGGTCCCCAGATGTCCACACAGCCACGTCCCTGAGCTCCCCCACCCCGCCCATGGCTTGGGGGGCACTGAGGGACAGGCCACCACCCTGCTGCCCTGAGCACTGACCCGGGGAGGTGTCTTGGCCACAGGGCTTGACCGCAGCCAGAAGCCAGGCCTCCAACGTACTGGGGTCCGCACAGCAGGCAGGCCAGGCATGCCGGGGACCCAGAGAGTGGGCAGCAGGGGAGATCGGGTGGGGAGAAGGCCACATGCCCCAGCTCTGTGCCTCCCTGAGGGCTGGGTGGGGGTCAGAGGGCCAAAGACCCCCCCCCCCTAGCCCACGCGTGCTCGGCAGCAGACAGAAGACCCCCACACGTGACCCAAGTTTCCACAGGAACCTGGGGATGCAGAGAACATGCAGAGAACAGGACAAGGGTCCGCAGCTCTGCATGAACCAACCTTCCACCTCTGCCCCCTACTCTCAGAAGACACTCCCTGCATTTTGGTAGCATTCTCCAGAAACTGCCAAGGGGGCACACCGAAGCCCCTGGTACTCCCCCCTGCCAGGCCCCTGCCCCACGCGCCCCTGTCCTGTGGCCACAGCCCACCCTCGGCAGCCCGCCTGAATGCCCGGGCGCACCCACCCTCCTTGGGCCCCAGGAGCCGCTCCCTCTTCCTGAAAATGCTGCCCCACCAGGAAGTGAGCCACTCCTCTGGTCTGAGAGAATACGAGCAGGGAGGACCCACGTGGGCCAGCCGCACCGGGTCCCACCCCCTCCCCACCCTTCCTAGCTGTGTGTCCCAAGGCGAATTACTTAACTGCTCTGTGTCTCAGTTTCTCCTCTGCAAAACGGACAGCATTCCATCAAGGACATACACAGACAGCAGGGGGCCGGCCTGGTACGCAGAGTGCCCAGATTATGCCGGTCGTTACAGAGCAGCATGCACAGCCTGTCCTGGGGGATCACTAACAGCTTCCCCGGCCACCCCCAGCCATGTCCCGGTTCAGACACTCATCTCCTCAGCCCCCCTGAACACGGGTCTGTGGCAGAGACCACTGGGGCTCTCCAGCATCCGTCTCTCTCTTCCTCCCTGGGGTCACAGGGCATGACACTTCCCAGCCTCCTGGAATGTGATCAGAGGGACCCATGTCCCTCCAGGCCTGGCTGACGGCCACCACCCGCCCATGGTGCTCTGTGGTGTCCCCATCCTCAGCTGACGGGGGGCGGGGGGGAGACTGAAAAGGGGGGGAGGGGAGGAGGCCCCTGAGTCATTGTCTGGAGCAGAGAGGCCCCAGAGAGCTGGGACCAGGCACCTCTGCAAAACACTGTTTGAACAAGTAACAAGTCCTGTCTCTGAGATGTGGGGCTATTTGTTACAGCCGCTGGGCTTCCTAACAGTCTGTCTCCCCACTCACTGTGGGCTTCTCGAGGACATCAGTCCCCCAGGACCCAGCACAGAACCTAGCCAAAACAAGGGGCTCAGGGGCTTGTGATGAATGAACGACCAAATAGCCCTACGTCTGCAGAGTCCCCACTTCCCAAGAGAGAGCCAAGGCCTTCTCCCCCTGCACCGACACACGTTCGCCGAGGGATGTGCAGCACGGGAGCGGTGTCGTGCGGAGCACAGCGGCTTTGTGGGGCAGAACCGCGGGGCAAGGGTGGCACGCGGTTTATAGTTAAGAGCTGTCCCGGTGGACCAAACCAAGGCCCAGAAAGGGGAGAGTCCCAGTTCCCCCACTGGGCTCTGTCTTCCCCAGAAACGTCCACCAAAGCTGCTCAGTCAACAGTTGTGCACAGAGTGCCCAGTGTTGGGCAAGGAGCAGCCCTTCTAGGCCTCACCCTCCTCCTCTGTGAAATGGGACAATAATGGCGACGTGCAAAATAAGCCCAACTGGGAAAGTCACTGGGGTGCAGGAGAGACCCCACTTCTCACCACTCGCTGACGTCTGCTCTGGACCTCTGGCCCAGGCCTCTCTCCTCACAGCCTTCATTGACTCGTGTGGAAATTCTGAGATCGGCTGAGCAAAGACCACCAAACACTCCTGTTCAGCCATCCTCCATCCTTAGACACAGGCTCTGGGACAAGGCTGTCTCTGGCCTGGCCTGGAACACCTGTTTACAGAACGGGGATTGAGCAGGGATTGGCAAACCGTGGCCCTCAGGCCTGTTTCTGTAAATAAAGTTTTATTGGCACACAGCCACGCCCATCATTTACATTTTTGGCCCTGGCAGCTTCTGCACTACAAGGGCAGGGTTGGAGTGGTTGTGACGGAGAAGGTGTAGCCAGCAGAGCCTGAAATATTTACTATCTGCTCCAAGCCCTGTGTCAGGGGGAAAAAGGCTGAGACAGATGTGAGCCCAAGGAGGGCATGTGATCGGAAGGGGGGGCGTACGGCCACCACGGATAATCATCTCTCTGACAACAAGGCTCCTAGGCATAAGGAGAGGTTACAAACCTGCCTGACATCCTGCAGGGGGCCCCAGGACCCACCGGGACCCACACTTGAAGGCTGTTTGACCCCAGCCTGCCCATCCAGTGGGGGTGTGGGGCGATAGGCATGCACGCCCTCAATCATAACTCAAGCAGCTGCTTCCAAGGAGGGCTCAAGGGAGCCTGAAATTAAGAAACGGAGACACTAGGCAACACAAAGTTATCGCTTGTGCCTTATTGAAGAAGCTTTGGTGGTGGAACCCCGTTACACATTGCGAGAGTGTGAAAGGCCGACATGACCAAGTGGTGAGGATGAGAGGGGCTCGCAAATGGCACCAGCAAGAGTACAAGTTGGTTCGACTCACTTTGGGAAACCGTGTGGCAGCTGCTCACATAACTAAACATCTCTGTCCCGTAAACCAGCAATTCTACTCCTCGGTATCTACCAAAGTGAAATGAAAACATGTCCACAGAAAGATTTGCATACCCAATAATACACAAAGAAGATAAAAACATGACCAACAGCGATTTAGACCGGAATGCAAAGCTGGCTCCATGTTTGAAAATCCATGTAATTCGCCATATTTACAGATTAAAAAAGAAAAACCGTATGACTGTGTCAATACATTCTGAAGAAGCACATGATAAAATGTACCATCCTGGTAAAAATTCTCAGAAAACTAGGAATAGCGGGGGACTTTCCCAACTTGATATACAGCATCTGTGAAATCACTGACCTCACACCTAATGGAGAAAGACTGAATGCTTTCCCCTAAAATCAGGACCAAGACAGGAATGTCTGTTGTGATGACTTCTATTCAAAAACTGAAGTTGCGATTCTAGTCAGTGCAATAAGGCAATAACAGAAATAAAAAGGTGGGGCGCCTGGGTGGCTCAGTCGTTAAGCATCTGCCTTCAGCTCGGGTCATGGCCCCGGGGTCCTGGGATCGAGCCCCGCATCGGGCTCCCTGCTCAGCGGGAAGCCTGCTTCTCCCTCTCCCACTCCCCCTGCTTGTGTTCCCTCTCTTGCTGTGTCTCTCTCTGTCAAATAAATAAAATCTTAAAAGAAATAAAGAAATAAGAAGCTTCTAGATTGGAAAGGAAGAAATAAAACCTCTTTTATTCATATACAACATGATTATCAACGTAGAAAATCTGATGGATTCTACAAAAACACTACTATAAATAATAAGGCTGCAGGATATAAGACAAATATACAAAAATCAATTATATTCACATATATATCAGCAATAAGCAGCTGGAAACTGAACATTTAAAAATACCGTTCACATTCTGGAGACTGTTGCACAACAATGTGAATGTTTTAAATGCTACTCAACTCTACTTAAAAGAGGGTAAAATAGTAAATTTTACGTTATATATATTTTCAAATATACATATATATTTGAAAAGTTAAAAACACCATTTACAATTGCAGAAAAAAATGAAATACCTAGGGGTAAATATGACAAACAGTACACTGAACACTACAAAATCGTGCTGAGATACATCACAGACCCCCTAAATATGTAGTGAAAGATATGATTTTCATGGGTTGGAAGACTCGATATCATGAAGATGTAAATTCTCTCTAAATTAATCTACAGATTCAACGTAATCCCAATCAGAATTCCAGCAGGATTTTTAGAAAATTTTTTAAAGATTTTATTTATTTATTTGACAGCGAGAGACACAGCGAGAGAGGGAACACAAGCAGGGGCAGAGGCAGAGGGAGAAGCAGGCTTCCCGCCAAGCGGGGAGCCCGATGCGGGGCTCGATCCCAGGGTCCTGGGACCACGACCTGAGCCGAAGGCAGACGCCCAACAGCTGAGCCGCCCAGGCGCCCCTCCAGCAGGATTTTTAAAATATAAATTAACAAACTGATTCTAAAATTCATATGCAAATGCAGGGGACCTAGAGTAACTAAAACAACCCTGCAAAAAGGATAAAAACAGAGGACTAACCACTACTTGGTTTTAGAATTTATCGTAAAGTTATAGTTCTCAAGACTGCGTGGTATTGGCATAGAAACAAGGAGATCAATGGCCCAGAACAGACCCACACGTGTTACTGACGAAGGTGTAAAGGCAATTTAGTGGAGAAAGAATCATCTTTCAGCACATGGTGCCGGAAGAGTTGGATACCATCTGCAAACACACTAAAGTTCAATCCGTGTCTCGTGCCATGTACAAAAAGTCATTCAAAATGCATCATCGCGCCAAATGTAAAACCTAGAGCTATAAACCTTCCAAAAGAAATCTTTGTGACTGTGGGTTAGGCAAAGCCTTTTTGGCCACAGAAAATTGAAAAAATTAAATAAATATGATAGCTTCATCGGAATTTTAAGAAAAGATCTGCTCTTTGAAGGATGCTGGTTGAGACAAATTAACACTGGGAGAAACTTTGCAAATCATGTATCTGATAAAGGACATGAATCCAAAGTGCACAAAGGACTGTTCAAACCAAGTAATAAGAGTACAAACATCTCGGTGACGAGAAGAGGCGGAGGGAAATGTGTCTCCGCAGAAGGGATGGGGGCGCAGGGCGGCCAAGGCCCCCCGAGCCCGCACTCTCCTCCCAACCCCCTGGCAGGCTTAGAAGGGGTGCATTTTATTGTGTGTGAATCACACCTCCATAAAGGTGAATCTAAGAATGCAGTGGGTGTTTCTAGGGCCCCAGCCATCCCCCAGAGACTGGAGAAGCAGAAAATCAGGGCCTCTCACCCTGGTGCAGCCTGCTCTGCGGGGTCAGCAGGAACCCGCTTTCTCTCTGAGATACGCCCTGCCTCCCTCCCTCTCCCAGACCCGGCAGCCACGCTCTCCCAAAGGCTACATCCGGCAGGCACCCGGGAGCCATGTCAGCCAATCCAGGGGCCTGGCCTTGGAGAAGGAAGCAGGAATGTTCCGGGCATCCTCCAGAGCCTCCCTGGCTGTCCGTCAACCTCCCCACACCCCCTGGGGGCTAATGACTGAGCACTGTATCGAGCCTGGTCCCACAGCTCCATCCGAGGCTGATCCTGCTGTTCGTTACTGCCCTTCCACACGATGAGGCAAATAAGGCCCAAGGTGGGTCAGACACTTGCCCGAGGTCACCCAGTGGCAGACTGGAGCGGACCAGCCCTGGGCTCCCGGAGCCCGCGCTCCCCGCCCTGAGCTACTTTCCTTCACAGGTTTGACACAGGCAGGCGCCGGGCAGGGGAGGGAGAAGGGGGTCCTGGGGGTGGAGGCGGTCTCCCAGCTGGGCATCTGGCCAGGCCCACAGGCAAGACCACGGCTCACGGGTGGTCACTGTGATCCCCAGCTGCCGGAAGGGCTCCCCAGCACCTCCTGACACCCAAGAGTCAGCTGACCTCACACTTAGGCTCTGAGCCTTCCAGCGGAAGAGGAGGGGGATCCCTCGCCCTGTCCCACAGAAAAGCTGCATTGCAGCGAGGCGAAGGCCACCAGGAGAGGCGGGGTGCCGGGGAAGCGCCGGCAGGAGGGGGCCTGGGCTGGACCACCAGGAAGGAAAGAGTAGAAGCTCAGGCAGCTGTGCGCTCCGGCAGTGTCTGCAGCAGGGCTGGATCAAGCAAGCGGGACGCTTTGACCTCACGCGCCCAGCGTGCCTCCCCCAAAGCTCAGGCTAATGGTTGCGCAGCATTTGGTCTGGGTGCCATCTGCCCAGCAAAGATCTGCCGCAAACGTCACCTCTCTGGGATCGCACAGGATGCCGCTGAGCAACTCGGCCGGCCTGCGTGACGCACCTGCACACCGAGAGCGCGGCCCACGGAGGGAGATCCTACCAGATGGAGGCGTGGGGTAGCAGCCTCCCCCGGGGGCCAGCCAGCCAGGAACACGGTCCTGCTGCCCTCAGACTCAGCCACCCTAGAGGGCCCTGTCCGAGCACCCCACACCCGAAAAAGTGCCCTGGGGCCTGGGGTGGCTTTTCAATCGAGAGCCCTGATTTTAAAGAAGGATGCTGACTCCGACAGGACAGTTCTTGAAGAGACTGAGCAGCAGTTTAAGACTCCCGGGCTCCCGGAGAGGGAGCCCCTGCCCCCCGCAAGCCCCCGAGGGTGGAGTGCCAGCAAGCTGGTCCCACACTGGCGCCCACCTGTCGCCCCAGGGCAGCCCCAGCACCCCTGTAGGAATCAGGAGCATGTGACTCCCTGACTCCCCGACTCCCCGGATTCCAAACCCCACCCTCCTCCCTAAGAAAGCCTCCGGGCAGAATCTCAGGAGGGCCACCCTGACCCTATAGGCAAGGACCTCCGGAGTGGGTCTGTGTGCACACTCAGGCAGTGGGAGGACACGGACGGCTGGACAGGGGCAGGCAGGAGGTCCCCAAGAGAGGAGGGACAGGGCTGATGCTTTCACAGTCCAGGTGGCCAGGCTGGACCAGGTGGCCAGGCTGGACCTGGAGGCTCAGCCGGGTCTGCCCACCTGCACAAACACCCACAGCCCCACATCGGAGCCCAGAAAGAGGCTCCAGGTATGAGGTGTCTGCATGTCTACATAAGCCTCACACTCTGAAGCTTAGAGCCCCTCCAGGGCAGGAGGGCCGCGGGCTGGGGTACCCCAGCACCAGGACCCTTTTAGCCCAGGCAGGAGGGCCCCACACCCCACTCCAGGCTCTGCTCTGGCCGCACCCCTTCCCCACCACGCAGGGAGCCATCCGGAGCCTGCCCATCCTCTCTCTGGGCACCAGGGACTCGGGGATTCCTCGCCCAGTAGCCTGGAGTGGGCCTCCAGGGCCTGTGTCCCCCCAGCACAGACCACACCCCCAGGGCATGTGCTGGTCTGCATGGACGTGCTGCAGACAGAGGCGAGGGCGGCAGAGAGGTGCTGGGCCTGAGTCTGCATCTCTACTCCTGCCCCAGCCCCACGACCACACCAGGCTGCCCGGCACACCTCCAGGCCACAGCCTCGCCCTCCGTGCGGTGGGGTGACATCACCTGCCAACCCGGACAAACTATGCCCCAGGCCACCAGCCTTCTCCCAGCTCCTCCCAGACACCCCTTCCTCTTCCTACCCCCTCCCCTGCCTCCCAGGGCTGTCACTGCCTTCCCTTCTCCCCAGCACCCCCCCCCGCCCCACTTCTCCCTCCCCACTGCTCTGCCTTCTCCCCAGGGGCCTGGAGGTGAGTCAACCCCGCACCATGAGCAGAGGCGAGGCATCTCGGCAGGTGAGACACATCCTGGGGCTGGGCTGGGCTGAGCAGGTAGCGTCACCCCCCCCCCACCAGAGCCCAGCTGGGGAGGAGAGCGCAGGCATGGAGGTGTGGGTCTGGCAGGGCCCTGTGGCCGGCTCCCGAGACGTCTGCCCGTCCCACACTGAGGCCCAGGAGTGAGGAGGGCACAGGTGGGGGGTGAGGGGTGGTTTGGGGCCTCCCGGCTGCCCTTTCTGGTTTCTCTTCTCAAAACCTCCAACACACTAAGCGCTGTGCTGTTTGCTTGACCCTCCTTCTCCCTGCCGGAACCTAAGCTGCAGGGGGCGGGCATGTCTGCTTTCACACACCCTGTGGACGCACCGAAGAGGGGGCCATCTATGGATCTATGGAGCAGGCGCTCAGTGAGCCCCTGGAGGAGGGAGGCTCGCACCTTCCCCTTTCTCCCCACCCAGTGGGGAACTCAGCCTTCCCCCGGGACCCTCCCCTCCCGCCTGGCCTACAATCCCTTCCCTCCCCTGGACCAGCCCATTCAGCGCACCTGTTGCCAGATTTCAGTGTCCCTCTCCTGACCCCCAGTACCTTCCAGCCCCTGCCCGTGTACGCCCCTCCATCCCCCAACCCCTGTCACAGACTCCACTGGCCTGCAGGTGCTGCACTGGGTCCTTCCCCCTGGCAGTCCCCCCCCCCCCGCCCACCTCCAGGCTCCGGGGAGACCCCTCTCATCTCCTCTTCTGGTTGTAAAAACCGTACTTGGGAACTGAGTGCCTGTGCTGGTCACACAGCACTGGGAATGTTCTAAACGCCCCTGGGCTGTTGGGTTTTGATGGTCAATGTTATGTTATGTGAATTTCACCTTGCGGAAGAATAAAACAGAAACAGAAAACTATGTACATCTTCGGCTATCGGCTACTTGGTGTCTACCTCCAGCCTCTTTCTCCAGAACGTTCCTCAAGCTCGAGTCTCCGCTTGCGGTCTGTGGCAATTTGCCGATCGTGAGCCCTCACGCCAGCAACTGGTCTCCACCCTTCTTCCTTTGTCCTTGGCTCTAAGCCGGATGCCCTCCTCTCCCCCGACCCGCGCCCCACACCCCACGTCCCAGCGCATCTTATTCCCCAAACTGCAAAATATATCCAAGATCCGACTTCGTACCGCACCACTGCCATCGCGCTGGACTGAGCCACTGTCCCCTCCCATCTGGACGACTCAGAGCCCTCTAACGGCCTCCCGGCACACCCTCACCCCTGTCGGCCCAGGACCCTCCCCTACAGCGGGCACAAGGCCCTGCGTGCGCCATGCCCCCCTGCCAGCCTGTCCCCCACTCTCCTCTCCGGACACACTCGCTCTCCTTGCCTCTCCTTTGAACACACGAAGCTCAGGGCTCACAGTGGCGGGGGCTACGCCCACCCCTCCTCTGGGGGAGCTGTCCCCCCTCCTCCATGGAGAATTCTGGATAACCCCAGCACCAGAAACCCCAGGGTCTCCTTATCCACCTCTCCCCACATCCCCTTCCAGTGACATCCTCCTGCTCAGGGAGCCCCAGACCTCACCACACCCCAGGACCACACCCTAACCTTGGCCACTGCCACCTCAGTACCTGCGCTCACCCAAGGCCTGCCCTGATGTGGGGGGCCCTAGTCTACCCCCTGCCCCTTTCCACGTCGCCCTGTGTCTTCGCTGCACTCCCCCATCACACCGTGTACAGCCCATCCCTCCACCGAAGCCTGTGCCCGAGGAGCTGAATGTTTTAGAGAAAGACACAGGACCGTGTAGAAGGTGCTTGGGTTAATTTGGGACCAGGGGAAGGTCTGGATGGTAAGCTGCAGTTACTTGTGGTCAATGTCAGCTCTTAGCACAGGCCCAGCTACCCCTCTGGACCCCTGGCCCCGGGCAGGCAGCTGTGCAGTGTTCCGGAAGAAACCACACACACGGGCAAGAACCAGGATGGGCAGCAAGGACCCCGTCCTCCAGGTATTGGGCCAGTGCTCTGTTCACTGACCGATGCCCCTGGCCAGGAGGGGGGCAGCCACTCCCCTCCAGCTCACGTGACTTCTAAGGATTTAAAGGCCTGGGTCCCCACCCTTGGAAGACAGACATTAAAGAGTGGGCAAAACAGCTGCATATAACAGGAAAAGTTTACAAATGAACACAGCAAAGCTTAGAAAAGACCCGAGAAGGGGCATCTGGGTGCTCAGCCAACTGAGCGCCCATTTCTTGATTTCGGTTCAGTTCATGATCTCAAGGTTGTGGGATCAAACCCCGTGTTGGGCTCCAAGCTCAGCAAAGACTCCGCTTGAGATTCTCTCTCTCCCTCTGCCCCTCCCACTCACGTGCTCTCCCTCTAAAATAAATGAATAAAATCTAAAAATAAAAAAAAAATAAAAAAAAAAAAGACCCAAGAAGACATTAAGTTTACACCTCAGGCTGATCCCTGGCAGACAGTCTACAACAATCAAAACAAAACAAAAACAATGACTAGGTGAGCAAGCCCTGGGAAGAGGGGAGAATCTGATTTCCTAGTGCCCACATTATTAGTTTCAAATGTCCAACAAAAACAGTCACGAGGCATACAGAGAAACAGAAAAGCATGGCCCATTCAAAGGAACAGATGAACAGAATCTGTCCCAACAAGGATTTAGTGGCAGACGTATTACACAGATGTTAAAAATTTTTTAATGTGCTTGAAGAAAAATGCCATATGTGAAGAAAGTCAAGAAAACAACAGACAAACAAAAGGGAAACAGGAATAAAGACAAAAAAACCTACAAAGAAACCAGAAAGAAACTTCTGGGTGTAAAAGCACAGTAACTGAAATAGAAAATTCACCAGAGGGATTCAAAGGCAGATCTGAGCAGCCAGGAGAGAGAAGCAGTGACCTTGAAGACAGGACAATGGAAGTTATGGAGGCCAAGGAACAGGCAGAAAGAAAGACAGAAGAAAAGCAAACAGAACGTAAGGGGCCAAGCGATGTGCATGGGAGACACAGAAGGAGAGAGAGAAAGGAGCAGGGAGAGGATCTGAAGACATCACGGTGTGAGGAGACGTGAGCCATGAGGCTCCGTGAACTCCAAGAGGCCACACACTGAGACACACAACTGTACCACGTCCAAAACCCAGACCCATGCGTTGGTGGTATAGTGGTGAGCATAGCTGCCTTCCAAAACCCAGACCCAAGGATCACGAAGGCAGCAAGAGGAAATCCACTTGTTACAAGAAATCCTCAAATAGATGAAAAGCAGATTTCTCATCAGGAACTTCAGAGGCCTGGGACGCCTGGGTGACTCAGTGGTACTGAGCAGGGAACCAGCCTGCTTCTCCCTCTCCCCCTGCTACTCCCTCTGCTTGTGCTCTCTCACTCTCTCTGTCAAATAAATAAAATCTTGAAAAAAAAAAAAAAAAAGAAGAAACTTCAGAGGCCAGAAGACAGTTGGCTGATATATGCAAAGTGTTCAGAGGAAAAAACTGTCAACCAGGAATCCTATTTCTGGCAAAACTGTCCTTCAAAAGTGAGGGAGAAATCGAGATGTTCCCAGATAAACAAAAGTCGAGGGTGTTTGTGACCAGAGCTGCGGTACCACAAAGCCATATGGAGAAACAGAGATCTCAGAAAAGGTAAATACATGGCAACTACAGAAGCTAGTGTTTTATAACAATGGTTAGTTGGCATTCGATGGTATTAAAACTGGTTTTCTATATTTAAGAGACTAACTCATTTGATAAAAAAAAATTATTAATGTAAAACTTAGTACTACTACAACTTTGGTATTTAACTCCAGATCTTGTTTTCTACATAAGAGACTAATGCATTTAAAATAATTATTATTTATGGGGGCACCTGGCTGGCTCAGTCGGAGAAGCATGCCACGCTTGATTTCAGTTGGGTGGAGAGATCACTTAAAAAAATGAATGAATGAATGAATGAATGAATGAATGAATATTTATGTCTTGGGGCACACAACGTGTAAAGATGAAATATTGTGACATCAACAACCAAAAGGTTACAGACAGCTGTGAAGGAACAGGGTTTCTGCACGTTACTGAAGTTAAACTACTACAAATTCGATTTAGAAGGTTATAAATTTAGGATGTTAAATGTAATCTCCATGGCAACCAGGAAGAAAAGAGCTATAGAATATACACAAAAGGAAATTAGGAGGGAATTTAAACATTTCACATAAACACAGAAGACGACAGGAATGCAGGAAACGAGGGACCAAAAAAAGCTGTAGGCCACACACAACATAAAGGGCACAAGGGAGAAGGAAGTCCCTCCTTACCAGCATTCACATCACAGGTAAAGGGATGAACCTCCCCAGTCAACAGGCAGAGAATGGCAGGACGGACAGAAACACACGGTACAACCACTGGCTGTCCACGAGAGATGCGGCCGAGATCTAAAGACACAGCGGGTCGGAAGTCAAAGGATGGGAAAGGACACTGCGCGTGGACAGCCCGCGGGAGAGAGCCGGAGTGGTTTCACAAACATCAGACAAACAGACTAAGGAAAAGGCCACAGGGACGAAGGAGGACAGTCTATGTGAGTAGAAGCCTCGACACAGCAAGATCTAACAATTACACTCACGCGCCTAATGACAGACATCAAAGTGTAGGAAGCCGAACCCGACAGAGCTGAAGGGGGACATCGCCAGCCTCGAATGACGGCTTGAGACCGTGACGCTGCACTCACACTGATGGACAGAGACATCCGGCAGGAGTGAGGGAACAGAGGACTTCCCACAACCAACCAGATCCAACCAGGCAGCACCTGACCAGGACGGCACAGGCATTCCTCCCTAGGGCCCGCGGGGCGTCGTACCGTTGGACAGGATCGACCACACGTGAGGCCGCAGGTAAGTCTAGGTTGATTTTAAAAGGCAGATGTCATACAGAGTATCTTCTCTGGCCACAACAGGGTGGAGTCAGAAGTCAACACAAAGAAAACTGGGACGTTCACAACATGGCGGAAATGTAACACACTTTTAAACAACCAGTGGATCAAGGAAGAAATCACAAGGGAAATTAGAAATGAAATGAAATTTGATGAAGGAAAACAAAACCCGACACCAGAACACGGGATGTAGCAACGGTGGTGCTAACAGGGAAATCTGTAGCTATAAATGGTGACATTACAAAACAAGAAGGATGTCAAACCAACGACCGAACGTACAACTGAAGGAACTAGGCAAAGAAGAAACTAAACCCAAAGCTGGCAGAAGGGAGGAAATCATAAAGACTGGAGCAGAGATCAAGGAAATAGAGAAAAGAAAACCATAGAGAAAATAAATGAAAGCAAAAGATGCTTCTTCGAGAAGATCAATGAATCGGCATGCCTTGAGCTGGATGGTCTAAGAAACTGACTCAAGTCACTAAAATCAGACACAAAGTTGGGGATGCTGCTCCCAGAAATAAAAAGGTCTATGAGAGCGTGCTGTGAACAACCGTACACCAACAACAGGGTCACCTCGATGAAGTGGACAAATTCCTGGAAAAAGAAAGCCCACCAAGACTAAATCAGGAAGAAGGGGACCATCTGAATGGTCCTGTAAACGAGTAAGGAGACCGAATTTGTCATCAGAAATTCCCAACAAAGAACAGCCCTGGCCCTGATGGCTTTACTGGTGAATGCTACTCAACACTTAAGCAACACCATCCTTCCCAAACTTTTCCAAAAGAATTGAGGGGGAGGGTTGCCTGGGTGGCTCAGTCATTGGGCGTCTGCCTGCAGGTCAGGTCATGATCCCAGGGTCCTGGGATCGAGTCCCGCATCAGGCTCCCGGCTCCACTGGAAGCCTGCTTCTCCTTCTCCCTCTCCCACTCCCCCTGCTTGTGTTCCTGCTCTCACTGTCTCTCTCTGTCAAGTAAATTAAGTAATATCTTTAAAAAAAAGAATTGAGGGGGAGGGAGCACTTCCTAACTCATCCGACACGGCCAGCAGAACCCCAGAGATACTATGAGAAGATCACAGACCAGTATCCCTTGTGAACACGGAGGCCAACACCCTCAACAGACCACTGGGAAACAGGACTCGGCAGCACATTAAGGACGACGCACCACCAACAAGCGGCTTTATTCGTGGAAAGCACAGAGGGCTCCCCGTGAGAACCCGCCAGTGTGACGCACCACGTCAGCAGAACGAGGGGAAGCCCACACGATCGTCTATCTCAACTGCTGCAGGAACGGCACTTGACCAAACGTGACGCTCTCGTTAAGGTATTCAAGAAGCCAGGAACAGGAGGGACCGCCCCCCCCCCCAACAGTACCCGCCGTCTCTGAAAACCCCACGGCAACCATAATCCTCGGTGGTGGAAGACTGCCAACTCCTCCTCGAGGAGCAGGAGCAAGGGGAGGGTGCCTGCCCTCACCACCTCCAGTCCACACGGTACTGGCAGCCCCGGCCGTAGCAACCAGGCACGAGGACGAGGGAAGAGGCATCTACAGTGGAAAGGAGGGAGCAAAATGATCTGTTTGCATACGACATGGTCTTATATGCAAAAAACCCTACAGACTCCACAAAAGAGCTGTCAGAGTAAGCGAATTCAGCAAAGTAATGGGATACAAAGTCAGCACATGAAAATCAGTTGCATTTTTATATATTTTTATTTACTTATTTCTTAAGTAATCTCTACACCCAACATGGGGCTCAAACTCAGCACCCTGAGATCCAGAGTTGAACGCTCTACTGAGCCAGCCAGGGGCTGCAGTCAGTTGCATTTTTATACAGATTGAGCAATCTGAAAGTAAATTGCAAGAACAAAACAACTTACAATAGCATCAAAAACAACGAAATACTTAAGAAATAACCAAGCAGGTAAAAAAAAAAAAAAACTTGTATGATGAAAACTATAAAATGTTGTAGAAAGAAATTAAAGACATAAATACATGGAAACATATCCCATGTTATGGATTAGAAGACTTGATACTGTCAGAATGTCAATATTACCCAAAGTAAACCAAAGACTCAATGTAATCCCTACCAAAATCCCAATGACATAGTTTGCAGAAATGAAAAGCCCATCCTAAAATCCACCTGGAATCTCAGGGGACCCTGAGTAGCTAAAACAATCTGGAAAAAGAACCACAAACCTGGAGGACTCGCACCTCATGACTCAAAATCTAATACAAAGCTGTAGTCATCAAAACAGTGTGGTACTGGCATAAACGACAGACATATCGACCAGTGGAACAGAATGAACCGGGAAATAAAGCTTCGCATAGATGCTCAGGTGATATTTGACAAGAGTGCTAAGACCACTCAATGGGGAAAAGATAGATTTTTCAACAAGGGGCACTGGGAAGAGGCCCACATGCAAAAGAATGACATTGAACCCTCACCCAACAGCATATACAAAAATTAACTCAACATGGACCAAGTACCTAAACCTAAGACCACAGGCCCACATGTTGGGCCTCAAAACAAGTCTTAATAAATTTAAGAAGATTAAAATCACGACTCATCTTCCGACCACCATGGTGTGAAACTAGAAATCCATTACAAGAAACCTGGAAAATTCACACATGTGTGGAGATGCAACAACATGCTCCTGAACAACCAGTGGGTCAAGGGAGAAATCCAAAAATAATTGAGACAAATGAAAATGGAATACAACACACAGCAACTCCGAGAGCCCAGCAACAACTGTGATGAGAGGGAAGTCCACAGTGGCAAGCGCCGGCCCGGAGAAACGAGAAAGGTCTGTGATAAACAACCTAACTCTGCACCACAAGGAACTAGAGAAAAAAAAAAAAACAGACGAAGCCCAGGGCGCCTCGGGGGCGCGGTTGATTAAGCGCCTGGCTCTTGGCCTGGGCTCAGGTCGTGATCTCAGGGTCGTGATGTCAGGGTCATGAGATGGAGCCCCACATCGGGCTCCATGCACAGCGTGGAGTCTCTCCCTCTGCCCTTACCCCGACTCGAGTGTGCTCTAAAAAGAAAAAGGAGAGAGAGAGAGACAAAAAGATAATAGAAAGATCAATGAAACGAAGAGCTGTGTTTTGGAAAAGACAAACAACACTGACAAACTTCAGTGAGACTCACCAAGAAAAAAAGAGAGAGGACTCAAATCAATAAAATCAGAAATGAAAGAGGCGGCCTACAACTGAGACCATGGAAACACTGAGGATCGTACGAGACTATCATGAATAATTACCTCCCCACCAATTGAACAAGAAACTGCTAAATCCCTAGGAACGTACAAGACTGAATCATGGAAAAGGAGAAGATCTGAACACATGGATTAGTAGCAAGGAGACGGAATCTGTAATCAAAAACCTTTCAACACACCTCCAGAACCAGACGGCTTCACTGGTGAAGTCTACCAGCATTTAGAGAAGAAGCAGTACCAATTAATACCAAAAAACAGAAGATGAGGGAACACTTCCAACTCCTTTTATGAGCCCAGCACGACCCTGATGCGAAAATCAGACAAGGGCACCACAATTACAGGCCAACATCCCTGATGAACACAGATGCAAGAGTCCTCAATGACAGATTCGCGGACTGAATTCAACAACACATTAAAAGGATCACACACCATGATAGGGTGGGATTTACTCCAGGGATGCAAGTTTGGATCGAGAAATCCATCCGAGCAGCCTCTCCTTTGCTGTCCTGCCCACTGATCCCTTGCAGCGTGTCCAATAAACGTCTATGTCCTTAGGAAGAAAAAAATCAATTTGGCATCCACAAATCAATTAATGTGATATGCTCCACTAACAAAAATGAAAGATAAAAATCATATGATTTCAACAGATGCAGTTTTAAAAGCACTTGACAAAATTCAACAACCATTTATGAGAAACACTCTGAACAAAGTGGGTACAGAGGGAACGTACCTCAACACAACAAAGGCCATGAAGGTCAAGCCCCCAGCTCACATCACACTCAACAGTGAGAAGCTGAGAGATTTTCCTGTAAGGTCAGGAAGAAGACAGGGATGCCCTCTCTCTCCACCTGTATGCTATCTGGTGCTGGAAGTCCTGGCCAGGGCAACGAGGGAGGAAAATTGATAAAAGGCATCACAACCAAAAGGGAAATAGTAGAACTGTCTCTATTTGCAGATTATTTCACTATTTCTACACATTATGGGTAGAAAACCCTAAGGATTCTCCACACACGTGTACCCTCACTCACACACACACACACACACACACACACACACACACACGAACTGAACAATGAATTCAGTGAAGTTACACGACAGAGGGTCAATGTACAGAAGTCAGTTCTGTTTCTCCACACTAATAACAAACCATGAGAAAGAGCAATTAAGAAAACAATCCCATTGACAGGTGCATCAAAAATAATAAAACACCTGGGAATAAAGTTAATCCAGGAGGTGAAGGGCCTGTATGCTGAATGCTATTAAAACCTTAAAGAAATTGAAGACACAAGTAAATGGAAAAACAGTCCATGCTCATGGTTGGAAGAATTAATACTGTTCAAATATCCATACTACCCAAAACAATCTACAGTTCAATGCAGTCCCCACCAAAAGTCCAATGGCGTTTTTCACAGAAATAGAGCAACCAACCCTAAAATTTGTATAAAATCACAAAAGACTCCAAAAAACCAAACAATTTTGAGAAAGGGGAACAAAGTTGGTGGCTTCATGCTTCCCAATTTCAAAGTATTTTACAAAACTACAGTAATCAAAATACTATGGTACTGGCATAAAAACAGACACACAGATCAGTGGAACAGAATAGAGAGCCCAGAAATGGACCCACCCATACATGGTCAATTAATCTATGACAAAGGAGCCCAGAATATACGACGGGGACAGAACAGCCAATTCAATAAATGGGGCTGGGAAAACTGGACAGCCTCACACCATACACAAAAATGAACTCGAAATGGATTAAAGACTGGAGTGTAAGACCTGAAACCATAAATCTCCTAGAAG